TAATACCAGGTGAGCGATGCAGACCCATTGGGCCTCTTGTTTTTATTTTGCCATCTAACCATACAGGGTTTTCTATTTATCTGCAATTACAGCAACTATAACTTTCTTTGCAACATAGGAGCTCTTGCATACTGCTTTGAGATGCCTTGTAATAAGTCTACATGAATATGCTGGTTCAGAATTTAGCCAGAATTTATAAAGAAGCTTTTTTACAGGTATTGAATAAACCAGAGAACTGCTGTGGACTGAAAGAGTATGCGATCCAGTGTTTGGTTGCGGATATAGCTTCAGCTGTTGAGTACCTCCACGGCAAGAGGATTATTCACAGAGATCTCAAGCCAGAAAACATAGTGTTGAGTCTTATAGAGGAAAAGGTATGTTTACTGATACATTTGATATACAGGTATGTCTCTCTAATACCTTGATGATGTAAAAGTCTCTATATTGTGTGAAAATGCTGATTCCTATGGTAATAGCATTGTTACCAGATCATAAGATTTCTCTTGGTTGACCCAATACTTCAACTGCTCGGTGTGCCTAACCCTTTACCCATCATCAGAATCTCAAATATATACAGCATTTGAGTTTCAAGATTGAGTATGATCAAGTTTTCAAAATATGCTCGGAACACCTTGCAAGCTACCAATGATAACATGCTTGTTTATCACATATGAAATATTGAAGCTACAACAACTCCCTTATGAGACATTGCTGCTTGGCACACTGGGCATTCCTTGCCCTCAGAAGTGTATATATATAGTTCTCTGTGTGTATCTAATTGATAGTTTGGAGGATGTTGACACGTCTTGTCATAGTGAATGCTTTCTGGGCCTCCTTCAAGTGGCACTCTGAAGAAGAAAAAATAAGTCTTTCTCATTAAAAATCTTGATAATTATCCAAATTTTCAATGCCAAAAATAATGATAACAGGCAAAATGTAGGTAACTGATCACATCAAAACTTCTTCCGACTCCAAAAGATGTTCACATCCGTCTAGTCAGTTAACTATTATTTTATACCTTTATATATAAAACTGATGACAAGTTTCCACCTGTCCATTCCAGATTGTTTACAAGCTGATCGATCTAGGATATGCCAAAGAGTTGGACCAAGGCAGTGTGTGTACATCATTTGTTGGGACGTTACAATACCTTGTAAGTCTACTCCTATGATTAGTTGGAAGACTTTACCACTGACAACAACAAAGTTTACAGCTTTCTCGGAGAAAATCAATTCTCAATGCTGATCCATATAGCTCACATTGCTAAAACAGTATGGCTAACATTTATAAAGGAACAACTCAAATATTGACCAATACATACTTACTTAAGCAGCAAATAAAAGAAATTTCAATGATTTTTATCATGCAACAAACAAATAATCCTATCTTCTAAAATCTTGTTTAGAAATTACCACATTTTCAATTTTTCAAATTTGTTTAAAGGTATAAAAGCCATATATGACAATATACGCTGTATATATATATTCAGTGAAGTAGAGTGTATGTTCCTCCCTTCATTAACTGTAAGAAATAGATTAACTTAATTGAGTAATATAGTATAAAATGTAAATCTATCTTGCTACATTTCAATATTTTTTTTATACATTTTGTTACAAAAAATTGTCAGATTGGTTCTCAGTAAGTTACTTTGTTTTACAATGTAAGTGTATATTAAAATAGCATGTGACAGGCCCACAATATTTACTGTCCTGCCTCTAAGGTATTCTTGTTCATACCAGTTATGCTGAAAAAATACTGAAAATAATTTTCAATTTTGTCTTGAAGGCTCCCGAGTTATTTGCCAGTCAGAAGTATACATGCACAGTGGACTACTGGTCATTTGGGACAGTGGTGTTCGAATGTATCACCGGCTACAGACCATTCCTACCATCAACACCTCCTGTTGCATGGTAAATTGACAACCTCAGCAATGTACTACAAATGTAAACATTGTTACCTTACAATATTAAGAGTTGTCAGACCAGGCAACTTTTAGTAACTCGTTACTAAACATCTGCTGAGTAGCCAGCTAACTGCTTAGTTTGGGTAATCAACAATAAACAACATTTACCTCTAAGATGAATGGATCATTTGTTCAGCCATAATTAATCCATGTGAAATACAAAATTATGTAGTACAATACAAGGGGGGAAGTCAGGCATCAGTTAAAAGTGAGGTTTAGTATTGTTGATGCACAACTGCCGTTCAATCATTTGTTCACCAAGAAATATAGCTATTACTTAATTGAGTTCGTACAATTTCATTTCTTCTCTTAATTGATTCAAGCATTAATCAATGTCATTATGTGGGTGTCTAATCATCTTGGATTATGTGTATTCAGCCTCCTGTTAAAATATAACTATATGTATGTGTACTTGGTTTTGTGGTGTTGTAATTCAAGGCACAAGGAAGTTTGTCAGAAATCACCAGAAGATATTTCTGCGATTCATGATATAAATGGCGATGTTAAGTTTTCCAAGAAACTTCTGTACCCTACCAGTCTGTGTAGGTAAGTGATGTGAAGGTGTTCACTGTTACTGTATCTGAAATAGGCTGAAAAACACGTTTCTCTTTATGTTACGTTCCAGTTAATATCATGTTTCCCTCTGATAAATGAGAAGTGATATAAAGTGAAGTATACTGTATAACCCATTTCTGGTGTAGGTTAACGTTGATATTATTTGTCCTGAAGTAAGATTTTTTTTTTCTTATCTGCAGGCAAATTTATTTCTGCTTGCCTGACAGAATACTAGCATACCGTTTTATTACTTAATATCAAATAAGCAATTGAATGGCAAAATAGCTGTGTTTCCGTCAAAAGACCATGATATCATGTCAAATTCCTTGTGGTTTACCTGTATGTATGTAATACATTTTTGTCCAGTATATTTCAGCTCTGGGCAAGTATATGTACTTTTTAATTTCTTCTTGCCCAAAGAATCAGTGCTCTAGAAAACTTGATTTTGTGCTAAAACAGTTTCATTCATTCAACAAATTCAAAAAAAACAATAAATCAAAACATGATAATGCAGATTTTAATAAAACTATACAAGTGTATTATAGCCTGACTTGTATTGGTTGACAGAACACTCCAGGTTTATTTTGAGAAATGGTTGCAATTCATGCTGCGATGGGACCCAAAGTCGCGTGGTGGGGGTCTGCTGGACGGGCGACCGCGCTGCTTCAGTTTGTTGGATTCCATGCTAAACATGAAGGTATCTGGTGTATATTTTCAGTACTGGTGATATTCTCCAGATGATTCCATCAAAATAATGATTGTGAAATATTTTTTGTAATAGATTCTTAACATGTGTTCACATGAAGGTAAACATTGTTTGACGTACATGTTGTAATCTACAGTTTATGTAGGTCACAACATGTTTAGGTGTTACAATGTAGTTCACAGCATCTTCAGTGGTTGTTAGTATATTTTCATCATATTTTCAGCAGCTATTAGTATACATTGTTCACATCATTGTTTACAGTTGTTAGTGCATATGTAGGGGCCTGTTCGTTTATGCGGAACAACCGGTTTGTCCGTTTTT